CCCAGGCCTTGCCCTATTTGCCAGTTTACCAATCTAGTCATGAACCTACTATGAGCCACATACTTGTACTAGGAGAGGTGATACAAAGAATAATGACTGCAATAAAGATATAGAGGGTGTGCTGATAGAATTTGTGGATGGCTCAGAGAACTAAAGATTATTTAATGTGATAGATGGCAGAATGAAGACTCAAAATGATTCTGTTATCTGGAACAATGAGCAAAATCAATAAGATGACATTTTAACTATCAGAATTTCCATTTATATTTTTAAAAAATCAATTGTCCAAGAAAATGGTAGCAATAATTATTATTTTGAAAGACCCGAGGGTTTTAGTTGGCTTTAATCTTAACCATGGGCTATGGCTGCTAAAAAGAAATCTTTGGCTAAATTAGTATGAGTAGAGGATCTGGATCAAAGGAGGGTCTGGTCAATGGCCAGTATTCTCCACTGCTTAGACTACACCTAGGCTACTGCATTCAGTTTGGGGAATAATATCTTGAGAACATTGACAAATCAGAGACCAGAGGAGCACAAGAAGAAAGGGTAGAGAACTAGAAACATAGTTTGACAGTGAATTTGGGAATGTTTTGCCTGGAGAACTGAAGAAAGAATATGACAATAGGTACGTGTCTGCTTATTTGTGATGTCTTGCACCAGGGAAAAAAACTAAAACAATGGATAGGAATCGGAAAGCAGCAGCTATGAAGCCAATATGAGACAGTATTTTCTACTGATATGAACTCACCTATATTACATGTAAGACATGTAATGAAGCATGAAGCGTGAAGCATGAAGCAGTAAAACAAGGCTTGATGCCATCTGTCAAGTGTCTAGAGAGTTCTGTATCAGATGGGAAGGTGAACTCATAGGATACTCTCTAAGATCCCTTTCAAACTTAAGATCCTAAAAAGATATATCATCTGGGAGAAGATATAAAAATTTTGAAATTATTTTCAAAGCTTAGAGAGAATCACACGCTCTTCATTTAGAGAAGGTCCCTCACAGCTAAAATTAACCTTAAGAAAAATTTAAAAAGTCCATGGTTACCCATCCTTGAAAATAACTAAAGAAAATATCCTTTAAATTACCTCGATCCTCTAGTTTATTTCCATAATAGTACCTTAAATACAGTGTCACCCACATGTTCATTAACCTGACGGAGTAATTCATATTTCAGGAACACCTGTATTTTATAATAAGCAGCACTTGTAAAATTGGCATGAGTCAGTGATTTGGATTTTCTCATGTACTTTCTGCCTTTCATATAAAAAGCAAAATATTCATTCTAACTTTGTAATCTATTTTTTCTAAGCTAAGTCATCTATTATAAAGAGTTCACCAGTTTTCAATTTAAACTAAATCTAAATCCAGACCTAAACCTTCCGGTGTATTGACTTTCGTTCAGTCTTAAAATTATAAAACAGTAAAAATGTAGACAATATTCACGATCAAGGAAACATATGGTACATATTTTGTTTTTCAAGTTTCATGAGCTGTCTGCTTCAGCAAAATATGTATAGCGCCGTGAGCCATGAAGTTCTTTTTCCTCACATTTCAAATTACTCTTTCATTTCCTCTTTGCTAACTATTCTCCTCATTTCACATTTTTGTTCTAAGTTCATTTTATTCTAAGTTAAGTATACTAAAGAATTCATTCTTATTTCTGTCTCTTACAATCTTTCTCAATTATTTCCATGTATACACTCTTTTGCATTTTGAAGTGTTATCTTAACATTTTTTTTAAATCAACTCAATGGCAAATATAGCATTATTCTCTCAGCATTAGCTGGAATGTTGCATTTTAAAGGTCAAGCAAATAAGAAAACTGATGACTACAGCACTCTGCCTCGGTGATACTAAAACTAGAGATGAAAAAGATGGGAATTGTGTGAAGCCTCTCTTTTCTTCTCTCCCCCTTATCTTCTATTCTTTTTCCTGGGGTGGTGGTAGTGGTGGTGGTATGTGTGTGTGTGTGTGTGTGTGTGTGTTTGTGTCTCTAGAAAGAGAAAAAGGAAAGAAGAGGAAAAATAGGGAGAGAGAAACAGCAGAGGAAAGCAAAAGCACTTAAGAGATATACAGGGTTGAAATTTAACTGAAGCAAAAGCACTTAAGAGATATACAGGGTTGAAATTGGAGAGGGAGGAGTAGGTCTTTTGGATTGAGGAAACAGAGCTGAATCGTGGATTCCAAGGCTGCAATATTCTCACAGTCCACATGTATTTCTTCAGAGTCACATTTAAAATCTACAGTAATGTTCAGTGGCACACCCACTGCATTTCCAAACAGGCAAGTTTTATTTATGACACAGTCCTTCCTACCTCTGCCTAGTCTCTGGCCTCCCTTTTTCTAACCTCTAGACACTCAGAACCCTCACAGTGGTTTACCAAAAAAATTCTGGTCCTCCCTGCCATTCCTTTCTTTCCAGCCCTAAATCAAATCTTACTCCTAGATTCTACAAGTAGGTAGTTGCCCCAACTATCTGATAAAAGTAATCAGATAGAAATGAGTCTTAATTTCTGTTCAAAAGACATACTTTAAAAGAGGAGGCTGTTTGCTCTGCTGGGTCTCTATGTGCATTTTCTGGTTCTTGAATAAGTGGCTTTTCATCAGAGTACCAAAGAAACCCCCAGAGCAATTAGAACACATTAATCTAATAGGGAAAATGTATATGGGAACAATTTTTTTAACTGAGGTACATATGTGGGCTCCTCCTGGTCTGGTTAGACTGAACCCTCGTATACTACTCCTAGAAATCTCATCAGTCTTAAAGCCTCTTCCCACGCCCCTCCTCGATTTTGCAAATAATATAAGTCACAGTAGAATAAAGTATTGCTTAGGGAGAGTGAAGGGCAGAAGCACAGTAAGCAGGTAGAGGGCTCAAGAGCCAGTCAGTCTTACACAAAAAATAGAAAATAAAACAAAATTAAATTAACATAAATTAATAAAATATATACATATACATTGTTTCATTAAAAAATTTAAACTACAGAAAAGTTACAAGAACAATACAATGAACTATCATATACCCTTTTTCTAGATTCATCAATTTAACATTTTGCCACATTGCCTTATCTATCTTTTCTAAACCATTTGACAGTAACTTGCATATACCAAAACCTTTTACCCCCAAATACTTCAGTGTGTATCTCTTAATAAGGGTATTCGCTTCCATAATCACAGCACAGTTATGAAATTCTAGAAACTTAACATTTAAATAATACTATTATCTAATAAATTTTCTACATGTAAATTTCAAATACTCTGAATATATTCCCTTATAGAACTTTGTCAATCCGGGATCACATATTGCCTTTAGTGGCATATCTCTTCAACCCTTTAAATCTAAAACAGTTCCTCAACCTTTCTTTGTCTCTCATGATGCTGACATCTTTTTAAGAGTACAGGCCAGCGGTTGGGTAGACTATTTCTCAACTTGCATTTTTCTGATTTGTTTCTTTGCAATTAGACTCAGAATATGTATTTTTAACAGAGACAATACATAAAAGATAGTGTGTCCTCAGTATGTCATACCAAAAGGCACATCATGTCATTTTATCCCATAATTGGTGACATCAACTTTGATCATTTTGTTCAGGTGATATTTGTCAGTAAAGGTACTGCGTTTATCCTTTGTAATGAACTAAAAAATCCAATGATACTTTGAGACTCTGCAAACTTTCACCCAATGATTTTAACACCTATTGATAATTGTCTGAATCAATTATTACTATAATGGTTGCAAAATTATGATTTTCCTAATTTCATCATTTCTTCTGTGTAGATTAGTTGGGATTCCACTGTCAAGAATTGTCATCTTTCCCTATCCTTTATTTATTTAAATTTTTTAAGAATAAGTATGTACTTTAGATTCTTTTAAAAAATTCATTTCTATCATTATTCATTCATGATGCTCAAATTTGCCCAGATTTGGTAAGTGGAGCTACATTCAAGCTAGCTATTTCCTTTTGACGTGTCCTCATCATTCTTCAAAAATCTTGCTTTCTCTCACAAGATCTTCAAGGGCATTTAATATGTCCCTGCTGCCCTAGAATCAGCCATTTCTCCCAGGAGTCTGATTCCTTTTAGTGGAGAATGGCATTTAGAAACCAAGATCTGGAGGCACTAATATATATCTCAAAATATTAAAAGAACACCTGTTTCCTTGGGTCACCATCCGAAGACTGGTGTGATCTCCAATCCTAACTCTAGCATTTCCTGCGTGACCTTGGCATTTCCCTTCAATCCTTGGAGCTTAATTCTTCATCTGGAAAAAATTGGATTAGATAAGTAGGTATTTTTTTTTAACCTTTCGGGATCATCCTCAGGTATGGGAATCCGATAAAAGCTATAGTTCTATCTCCCTAGAGACAAGTAAGCAAAAATTTGCATACGTTTTAGGGGGTTCGAGGCTCCGAAGCCCATTTGAGGCTACAAATCCTTGCACTAAGTGATCTCTAGGGTCTCTTCAACGCTGACATTCTGTGAGTCTATACGCGAGCATGCTCCTGTCAGAATGATTCCTCAGAGACATCAAAATGTGGAGGCATTTATACAGAAGCAAGATGAAAAAAGAATGCAAAGAAAGGAGCCTGTGAGCAATCCATTGCTCAGCCACAGTTCTTTGCCCGTGCCAAATTTAAGACGCACTGTGGTCACAGGTGAGAGGTTTTGGCGGGAAGTTCCCGGGGTGGGCAGAGAACGACGGTGCCGGTAAAGGAGACAGCAGGCCAGGTCCAGGTCGCTGCATCCCTCCGCTCCGCCCACCAGGGCTCGCTCTTGGCCTTCGGCTGAGAGGCCGAGGAA